AATCTGTACAAAGACAAATAAATATAAATCATATACAAGAATAAGAGCTCAAACTAAAAGCTCAAACTAGTACTTGGCACAATCAAACAAAAATTTAACAGTCAAATACTTGTTAATGCTTATATTTAAATCAGATGTCAAACAATTGCAAATTAACCAAAGCTATATATATACTATTAGTTAATCTACAATCATTTGATGTCTAACTTAATTACAATTATTAACAAGTATTTGACTATGAAATTTTTGTTTGATTGTGCCAAGCACTAGCTCAAACTAAAAGCTAAGACTAAAAGCTTGGGCTAATTATTTGTGATCTAAATCTATTAGAGTGATCAAGACTCACCTAGGTTTGGATTGTTAGAATATTATTAGTAAATATATTGTATTTGATCCACAAAGTAGACCAGGTATTAAGTTTAAGAGTGGCTTGTTCTAGAGGAGAGCAAGTATTAGATTCAAGGTATAATTGGTTAGCAGAATTGCAGAGGCAGTTGTAAGTATAGTTAATTTCTTTCTTTATTGGAGAAGAGTAAAGAGTATTGAAATATTGATTAGTAGTTGGAGTGAAGAGAGATTTGATGAGATTTTTTCTATTGGGAAAAGTTTGTATAGTATAGAATCTTTATATTGTTATAAAGTTGGTAAAAATATTAAGTTGTAGTTTAATAATAAGTTTGAAGGTCTAAGAATTTGATTAGAGAAATCAGTGTAAGGCTTTGAGTGTAGAGTGAAGAGATAATAGATAAAGTTAAGAGAGTTGAGGATAAAAGGCAAGATATGAGAAGATAGTATGTATAAAATTATTTAGTTGAGATAAAAAAAGATCAAGGTTAAAGTTGGATAAAGTGTTGTATATAGTAGAGTTAATAGTTTGGATTAAGGTATAGCTAGAGCAAGTAACCAGTAAGAAGAGGAATTTGGGTTGTTACAAGAGAAGCAATTGGGAGATGTAAATAGATAGGGATATATATTGTGAAAATATGCATATAGGTAAGATATTAAATAGCATTTTGATTTTAAAAACTTTTAGATGGTTTAGTTTGGAGTTAGTAAAGTTATAAGAAGTTTTTTAATTATTGTTAAGGTATAGCCAGGAGGCATTCTAGTTGACTAGTAGGAGAAATATGACTATTTTTAGGTATGGTGTTGAGAAGACCATAAGGCTATATTGTATACATTATGTATATTTTTAATAAATTGTCAAGTAGGGCTATGGCAAAGTTGTTTTTCTATAATAGAGTAAAGTAGGAGTTGTAGATGTTAATATAATTGAATAATAATAAGGAAGAGCTAGAATAGTTGTTGGTAAGAAAGTCAGTGAGGTTATTAAAAGTATTGTTAAAGTAAGCCTAAACTTTGTGAAGGAAGAGTTGGATATTAAAAGCTTTTAGAATATTGAGGAGTGTATACCAGATAGGACAGAAGTTAAACTTGAAATTTTTGGTAGAGTGAGAGAATAGGGTTAGAGTTTGTTGTATTTAGATATAACTAATTGTAAGTTAGTAAAAATTTAAAAGCTGGAGTTGTTTAGAATGGTTGTATATCAGAATCCCGACACACAAAATCCTGACACACAAAATCCCGGCAACAAAATCCCAATACACAAAATCCCGACAAATTAAATTCCTAATTTTAATATTTTTAGGATTTTAATTTGTCGGAATTTTGTGTATCGGGATTTTGTTGCCGGGATTTTGTGTATCGGGATTTTGTGTGTCGGGATTCTGATATACAACCGTTTAGAATAGTTGAGATAACAGATAAAATTGCTAATAATTCAGTTTTATAAAAAGAAGGCTAGTTTGTAATTTGATCAGAGAAGCTTTATATAACTTGGTCATCATAGATTTGGATCTAGCCAATGTCTATAGAGCATTGGTTAGTACCAAGTTGTTTGACAGAGCTGTCTGTATAAAAGATAAATTAATGCTGAGAAAGATTAGCTAGTACAATTTGGATAAGCTATGAAGAAGCATCATTGTTGTAAAAGATAGTATGTATAGGTGAATCAATGAGGTTGATTGAAGGTATGGATAGTATCTTGATAGCTTTTTTGAAATTAGTAGATTAAATAAGATCAATATAGTTTGCATTGAAATTGAGTTGTTTATTAGCTTCTTTCTTCCTAAGAATTGAGTAAAAAGAATAGCAGATACTTCAAGTATGCAACAGCTAGAAATCTGGTTAAAGTTAAGATTGTAGCCATGGCAGAGTGTACAAGTAATAGAGGTAGTGAATAGAAGTTGGGGTGAAGGTGTTAATATTGTGTTGCTAGTTAGTTATAGAAATAATATTAGTTTTAAAAAATGTTTTGCAAATTTAACCTATTATGATGTTTTTATTGTAGTAGGATAAAATCTAAGGTTTATTAGTTTTAGAGATATGGTTAGTTTAATATGCAAAGAGATTAAGATCTTTGAGTTAAAAATGTGATAAAATAATACAAAGTAAGTTGTTATCATGAATAGTGGTTTCAAGATAGATAAACTAGATAGGTTTTTTGCTTTTAGAAATATGTAGAATTCTTGAAGGTAAATAGTGCCAGTCTAAGAGAATATTGTTGTTAGCTAAGCAGAGTTGTTCTAAGTAAAGAATATATTTGTATCAGAATTGTTATTTAAAAGTATTATATTTGGAATAGTTGAAAAGAATGTTTTTAAGTAGAGTATTACTATTAGTAATTGTTTTGGGCCAAGAGAAATTAAAATATGCATAAATAGGAGTTTGTAGATAGTTAAAGAGTTGTATAATTTAAAAGTAGTTGTGTATTTGTTTAGACCATCAATAATAGAATGAAAATATTGTAAAATATTAGTAGTTGACCAAAGATTATTTTGAAATTGCTAGAGTTAAATATGAGTTGTAATGCCAAGAGTAGAGTTTTTATTAATATGGTTGAGAAAGTTACTAATATGGTGTTGTAGTTGTATATTTCAAATATTGTAAATATTATAGAGATTATGATTGAGGTGAGTACTATTGAAAGTAAAATGAGAAAGATATGCTTTTTGTTTAGCTATTGTAAGATATTTACTTAAAATTTTGTTGTATCTAAATAAGGGAATTATGATGTTGTAAAGCTAATATTCAATAGTTGATATAATAACAGTATTAATAATATAGATAATTTAGGATTCCAAACAATACTAAAGAGGTCATATTTGAAAAATAGTTAACAGAGATTAAAATTTTGCAAAATTAAGCAATTTGATTGGCTAAAAAATTTTTTTCAATCAAATTGTATAAAAACTGCTAATAGCTTAAATATAATCTCTGTTAGTATTGTTGGGGTCTTGGTAATTTGTTTGTCAGTTATATCTTTGATATTTGCAATATTGGCTAGTTGGATAGCCTCATCTTGGATAAGTTTAATTTGTAACAATTGCTTGTTGTTGAGAATAAACTAACAACCAAGAAATTTGAAGGGCCAATAAGAAGAAATTGATTGTAAATTAGAGTTAAGAGAAGAGATATTGAAGGAGAGTTGTATAGTTATAAATAAAGATTTGGTGAAATTAACTTGGATGTTAGCCATGGAGTAGAAGGAGGAGGCAGTTTAAACAATTTCTTCAAGTTGTGTTTTGGAATTAGCAACTCATAGAGTATTATCCATATATGTGAGAACTGATATGGAGATATTAAGGTGGTTTGTGAAGTGGTAATTAATATAATTGTATATATTTTCAAATTTGAATAAATTGTTAGAAATTGGATCAGATAATATCTGGCATATGATAAAATATATTTATATACAATGATTATGATATAATTTATATTAAAAAAAATTTGTTAAATAAAAATTATATTTATTAAATATACAATAATTGCATCACGTATTTTAAATCAATTTATTACTTATTACTGATGCAAATAAGATTATTTTAATATTTCTTATCGATTTTTATAAATAATTATCATCACTATTATTAGTTATTGAAATTAAAATCAGCAATCTTAGTTTACAAATCAAGAATATAAATACTTATTTACCATTCCATAGTGTACTTCAAAATAATATAAAGAAAGATCTTTGTTTTGGAATACATGAAAGATTTAATATTTAAAGCACCTTCAATACTAATAATCATGTTAAAATCTTCTTTATTGTTAAGGCAATTAATAGAAAACTTTTAAAAAAGATTTAGTTCCATCTTAAAATCTTGAAGTTTTTTTTTTTTTTACAAACATGTTTAGAAGTAACCTAAATTATTTCATTCACCTTAATTAGCTCTTAATATAAAGAACATTTATTAGTCATTGGAATTAAAATCAGAGCTGATTTACAAATCAAAAACATAAATACTTATTACTATTCCATAATACTCTTCAAATTATTTTATTCACTAATTATTTCATTTATTCTATGACTATAAAGAACATTTATTAGTCAGTCGAGTTAAGACAAATCAAGCCTCCAAACAAACATAATATGTATTTACTACTATTAACTGCTGAGTAATTAATGAGAATAAAATAATTTGAATATATTATGTAAGACTATATAAAGTTAATTAATTGCTGATCCGGATAAGATCAGCACAATTTCTATATTAGAATTTGGGGCAAAATTCCTATGATCTTAACTATATGCTGGAATCTGAGCGGAGTCCAATGATAGGTAATTTTTTTACTAAGTTAACAACTCAAGTCGATTAATTGAAAGTTGTAGAGCTCACTGAGATGCGTAAAATGGTGGTTAGATCATCCAAATCGGCCTAGTGGTTGCTGAGATATCTTCGAAAAACGATTGGCCGACTATGTTAAATTTATAGTTTGTTTACATAGAAATTTACATAGTCAGCCAATAGTTTTTCGAAGATATCTCGGCAACCACTAGGTCGATTTGGATGATCTAACCACAATTAGATGCGTTTCAGTGAGCTCTACAACTTTCAATTAATCGGCTTGAGTTGTTAACTTAATAAAAAAATTACTTATCATTGGACTCCGCTCAGATTCCAGCATATAATAAAAGTTTATATTGTACCCAAAATTTACTATTGTCCCAATATAGTAATTCTGCCGATCTTATCCGGATCATCAATTAATGAATTTTGAATAAAGCGATGAAGATTCATAACACGTTGCTAGTGATAAAAGACAGGTGGTTAGGAAATGCCATATTTATAATAAAAAACGGTAAAGATTGTATGTTACCTTGAAAGAAAACATCACTTCTAAAATATCTGAAAGTTGTTCCAATTGCCCAGAATTGTCAGGGATCGTAAATCCGTCAAATTGGTCCACAAGGTACAAATTATTAACATAGTGCATTGAATAGAAATGGAAAGTTTTTCCTACAGAAGCATAAGTTAGAAATGATAAATACTAATAAAATAACAAAAAACAGACATGTTATGAATTATCATTTACTGTAAATGAGAATTCCAAACGTTTCAGCATTACTAATATCGTTCTCATCAACTCCTTGTTGTCTAAATAGCTGATATAACCGGAATAACCCCAATTGCATCGCTGTTAAATTTAATGATTTTATTAATTAGGGATATAAAAAGTAAGCTCTAACTTCCTACTTACACTTTAAAATTTTCTCCCGATCTTCTATCATTTTTTTATCATCACGTATACAGGCATTGCCCACAACTTCTCCGAACCCTACTTGAAAATCAACACTGTTTACCTTGATTACTAACATGGCATCATGTTCCCATCCTACAGAACGCCGTTGCCCTAATGGTCTTGCTGAATCTTTCTGAACTTTACTATCCCGGTTTTCAACTTCTCCCCTTGTTATCAGTAAATCTTACATCAGCGTCACATAAATATACTTTCAAGAAGTATAGAACATTACAAGAGAAAGCGTACGTTTTCATACGAATAACATTGTTTATGTCTAGGAAAATATCCTCTATGATACGATTTACAATCCTATCTATATAGGCATATTCAGATAATTCGCCATCGTGAAGTGGATTTATAGGTAGTTGAAAACACAGTAAACTATAATAAAATAAGTTAATACAGTATATCCAAAAAAAAACGGACCAAAAAATATATTTACAATGCATTATAAACCAATTTAATCCATTGCGTAGACCATTCTTCAGTAAAACTATATGCATCACGATTGACAATAGACATTTCATCAAATAAAACGGCGACCTTATTCAAATTTACATTGTATTCGTGGTTCTACCACAAAATTCCGAAAACCATTTTCCCGAAAGAACATAATACCGACTAAATTGACCAGCATTATAACTAATGCCGGCTAACTTTGTCGGTATTAGGTCCTTTCGGGAATCTGTCTTTCGGGATTTTGTGGTAAAACCTGTATCCGTATGTTGCTTTAGTGATGCCATCAATATACTTTTTCAGTAACTTATTAACATTCTCATTCATTCCACTACCAGCAGGTAACATTGTCTTCTTCTCAGCCTGAAAAATCAATATTAAGTTTGTTTGTTAAAAATAATACAATCATGATAAATTACGAACCTTTTGCCAATCCGCTTCGAGCCTCATCCATTTTTCTTTAGTAAATATTGATTTAATCGGACTACACTCATTTTCTTCCGGTAAAAAGATAATATTATAACGAGCAATCCCACCAATATTCGTGAGTCCTTGAACAATTGAATCCTGTACAAGAAAAATCTGTTACGCGATCTTATAAATAAAGGAAATATGCATAAAATAGTGAAGACATCAAACCTTTGATGACGACATTTCTCCATGATGCTCACCCACATCCTGGTTTAAAGAGGGATTATCGTTGACAAGCTAACGCAATTCACACGATTATCAGTAATCTCTCTCAATCAAATTTCAAATTATATACTGACTTTTTTTGATGGTGTCCCGTTCTCCTTTTCACGAGTCCGTTTATTTCCAACGTTACTAATCTGAATGTTATCGCATGACGAATTTATAAATTGAATATTTGTTCCTGTATTGATCATCTTTTCGCGGAGAATTTTTTCAACATCAAGCCACAGTTTATCAATATCGCTTCTTGCGTTACGTTGATTCTTTTTCTTGATACAACAAAAAAAAATGCTACATATTAGTTCTATCTACAATACTTTCAGTGTATTAACAATATTCGGCGGTAAGAAAACCATAACAATCAAAAAGATCGTCAGAGGAGTGGCAAAAAGCACACATGCCTCCTAGTTATGGATGTCGCAACCACAACGATCAAAAAGATCTTCAGAAGGACAACGAAAAGTTGTATCTTCCTAGTTGTGGACAACGCAGTCTTCAAAAAGAACACTGCGAAGGACATTCCCATATAAAAAAGTACTTGCCCGAAGATCGGCTAGAAGAGAGCTTGCTTTCCATATTTTTGAAACATCTGAGCTTCGTTGAACAATCGCCTGGAGACTTTTAACAAATGCGTCCGTTGCCTTACTATAAGTTAGTTCTTCAACATCTCCTCTGTGAGAGTCAAACCAGCTTTTATGAAATTGAAAAATAGTCCAGTCCTTAACTGGAGTCTCATCAAAATAACGATAACGTGTGTTGTCATAAAAAATAAAATGAACGCGTTGGTACCGGTATTGATAAAATTAAGGGGTATATTATATAAATGCCGTGATTTTGGGAACATATCACGTAAATTTTCTAATTTTTCGCCAAGATCGAATATGATCATCACCTCCAAAATTTATTTTGACACATGTTTACTACGGCATTTTTAGTTTTTCCCGGCTTTTTGTTTATTTACGATTATCTGTTATTTATGCTTGAGAAGCGTGACATCGTTGTCACAGTGACGCAGTAAGATTCTGCTTATCGTTATGCTAATTTTATTTTAATTATTCGAGGACATAACAGATGAATCAGAGACTCAAGCATTGCTTTTTTTCTTAGGAAATTTTCACATTCACATCGCTTATATATTCCATCTGCAACTTTTTTGCATGTTTTGCAATACAGATGTGAATGGTGATTGCATTCATCACAAACCTTACACACGTGCTTACACCCTTTAAAGATATGCCACTTTTCAAAGTAATTTTGACTTTTTTTATTTGTTGATGTATTCTGATTCTTCATTATTATATTAACAGAAAAATAATATATGTGACTAATTTTTTTAATACGTACATACGTACATGTTTCTTGTCAATCTTGTTACCATTATATAACATTGTGCGTATCATTTTTACTAAAATTTGATTTTCCTACTTTAACACTAGATATGTTTTGAAAATGCCAATATATTTTAGCATGGGCTAGCACATATGTAAACAAACTATATATGGTAAATAAATTGGTGAATGAATATATTTAAAAATCAAATCACAGAAAATATGACTTTATTAATTTTATAGATATACAGTCAGACCTCTCTAAATGCATGGCATTGGGCTAACAAAAAACCTTGCATTTAGAGAGGTATTGCATTTAGGGAGGTAAAAATCTATAAGTAACATATGAGTTGGGACAAAGCCAAGCCATGCATTTAGAGAGATCATGCATTTAGAGAGGTTGCATCTAGGGAGGTCTGACTGTATATAAAAATGGGCTAGGGCAAGCTAAGTAAAAACTTAAGAGTAGTGAATGTTTAAAGTGAGGAATTTCTCAAGCCCTAACCCATAAAATGAGAGTTTCTTCCCACTACTCCATATTATTAGCTAAGCTATCATTATTTTTACTATCTATTCACAAACCAATCTGGTCTAGTATACTAATATAACCATCTTTTTTCTTTATATTTCTTTTATAAAACCCTTGTATAGTTGTCTTTTTAATATTCTCTCCAAGTTTACAAATTTTTATTGCTACTATTAAACATATCTCTTTTATGATAAAATTTTTTTTAGTTTTAATTTAATTAAAAATTTGCTTACATTGATTCTAGTCAATAAGGCTAATACCTACGAATATTAATTAGCCAAGCTAGATGAACTTCTAGATAAGCTTGTATAAGATTGATTTGATACTTTGAAATGATTAGATACACTTTGTTGGTTAGCTTCGATTGGCTAATAATTGTATAATATTAAATTAATCCATTTTGAAGAGCTTTAATAGAAGCATTAACTAAGACAAAATTATTATTGCATGCTTTCTCAATATTATTAATTCTTGTAGCCATGTTATTAAAAAGTTTTTGTGCCTTAAAAGCATAACCAACATCATATAAATTAATTTTTTTGATTTTTGTAGTAAGTTTATTATTAAGCTTAGTATTAATTTTGCCAAGCTCTGCAATAAAAAAAGAATTAATTTCCAATAGGTGTATAGTGAGTTCATTAGTGATTTTAATATTAATTTCTGTGGTAAGTTGCTGTCTGATAAGGTATATGGAAATGCATGTAGTAACAAAAATCAAGTGAATGGTGTTTTTCTTGGCGAATATCATTAGATCTACAAAGACCAAAAATAGTGCAATTTCTAAAATATTGATCGAAGTCATCTATTAACAGAAAAAAATTATTACTATAAATGTATAAATATAGAGTAATCTAGCATATATGCAAATAAAAATCAACCTTAATTTGTATGAAACAGGTGATATAAGTAGATTTATTAGTAAGACAACTATGTTTAAAAAATATTTTTATTATTTTAAAATTAATATACAAAATATTAAAGTTTATTAAATGTTTATTTTTTATTTTTATAGATATTATTAATAAAAGTATAGAAGGATTAACTAAAGATTTTTGGATCCCTTTTATACAAGATCTTATAAATAAACATATAAGTAGTATTGTTTTGCAATAAATCTGATTTGTTGTCTCTGTTGGTAAAGGCCAGAACATATTTTTTTTTTATTTTTTTGACAGTCTTGTTGGAGCTTAAATACAAAATTTTATAATGTAAAATAACAGACTATCTCTAGTAAACTCTTTGCAATTACAAGCTTAGCATCACTAGCTACATATACTGCACCCAGATGTGACTTGTTACACTGACTCATACTTTGTCAAGTATAAAGCCTCTTATATAACTTTCTCTCTAACTATATATCAATGCTTCAATCAAGCCTCTCAGACCAACTTTCTTAAAAGACCTCTTTTCAGGAGTGCTATTGGACTAATATTGCTTAGATAATAGCTCCAGTTTTCATTTTTTGGTATTAAATATATTTGCACAATTTTTCACTTATCTGGAATGTGACCTATTTTGATACATATGTTCGTGAACTTTCTGTATAACTCATAGGTTTCTCTGCTCACACTTTTAATTAGCCTATACCCAATACCAGACACCCCAGGAGCCATTTTGTTCTTTGTTTCATTAATTACGTTCAACCATTCTTCTATTGTGATTTCTAGAGATGTTACTCAGGTCAGAAATTTTGGCTCAAGTCAATAAGATTCGGGTTAGATATTAATCTGGATTATGAATCGAGTTAACTAAGTTATCCAATTAGATTATCTCACATAACAATTGATTATTACTGGCCAATTAGAACTAAACACATATATACAAATAATGATATAGAAATAAATTTAACAAACTTGTGCTTATTAAATGTAAAATAAATAAATAGTAGACTTCTTTTACCATTTAAATTTTGTAAAATAACTTTGTAGATGGGGTGTGTGGTGTGTAAGAAGAGTTTGGATCAGACTTCTCTTAGTGTGTGACTTTTTTTTTTTGTTTTGGGTAAGTTTAACTTTTTTTTTTTTTTTTTTTTTTTTCGGTATTAAGGTGACCTCCTTGGCCTGGGGACTTTTTATTAGTAAGTATTAGTTATTACAGT